AAGGCAACTAAAATAGGTAATTCACATGTAGATTCTAATGTAATGATAGAATAAATAAATTAAACCACTTTCAATGATATGTTATTATTTATGTTTTAGTCAATAAATCCCTTGACTGGGAACTGAGATTATCAGTTAAACATTCTTCCCAGAGCAGAGTTGATCTCCCTGTTGCGTAGACAGTAGATGATGGGGTTCATGAAAGGGGGCACTATGATGTAGAACATGGCAGTGAGCAGATTCTTAAAGGAAGGCTCCTTTGCGCTGGGACCTAAAACAGCTATAGCCCCAGAAATGACAAACAAAAGAAGAATGGCCAGCTGCGGGGTGCAGGTGGATATAGTTTTGTTTCTTGCTTCCACAGAATTCATCTTAAGCACATTTAAAAAGATGTTAACATATGACATAAGCATAAAGGAAAAACACAGTAACACAAGGCAAATGCTTACCGCAATGATTATAAATTCAGAAAGCTGGACATCCGAACATGAAATCCGCAGAACTTGAGGAATGTCACAGAAATATTGCTGGATCACATTGGTCTTGGTGAAGGGCAGCCAGAACAGAGCCCCTGTGTGCATAGCAGAGTAGACCAGGCCAGAGGCCCAGGAGCCAGCTGCGGCCTGGGCGCACAGAGTAGGGGTGATGGTGAGCCCGTAGTGCAGAGGGTGGCAGATGGCCACGTAGCGGTCATAGGACATGACCACCAGGAATGCAAATTCCACAGCTGCAAAAAGGATATAGAGGAAAATCTGGGCAGCACATTCTGTCAGGGAGATCATCTTATGGCCTGTCATGGAATCAATGATGGCTCTGGGAACTATAACAGAGATGGTGCCGAGGTCTAAGAGTGATAAATTGCTTATGAAAAAGTACATGGGAGAGTGCAAACATGTGTCTGTCACGATGACAGTGACTGTCATAAGGTTGCCTAGTAATGCTCCCAGATAAATCAGCAAGAACAGCACCCCTTGCAGAACCTGGAGCTCGCGGGAGCCTGTGACATCCATGAGGAGGAATTCTGTGAAGACGGTGAGGTTGTCCATGCCTGCCAAGCTGTGGTGGTTTCTAGTCAGAGGTTACAGTAAGCAGAGGGTGCTACTAGCAGAAGGTAGAGCTTCACTAGAACTGCTCTGGGGCTTCTAATCAGAAATTCAAGAAAGAATAAATACATAAAATAGAGTGTCCTGATATCCAGCGAATGTGCACATTTCTCTTTCCTTTCCCAAACTGTGACATGTGTCCTACTCGTGTCCGCATGCGCAATATGAGCACGACACCAGGCAGGTCACGAGCCACCCTCGCACTTGAGGCTCTTTGTGCACGCTTGTGTGAGCCCTTTCTTTCCTTTGCACCATCATCTATGAAACTTGATTCACATGTTAGAAATTCTAGTTTTCTGTTGGAAATGTATAGCCTCTTCCCACCTTGTATTTCTTTGTGTGCACATCTTATTTTAAAATAAATGAGCCAACAAATAAACGAACAACAACTGCTTGAGTCATTCCTCCAAAATGCAACTTTCTGCTAGTGATAAATTGTTGTTTGTTTCCTCACTGCCTTTTGGATCAGGTCTTTAAGAACACTGCCCAAATCTATGTCACTATAACCTGTCGCTATACAAGACGATCAAAACAGACCTGAGCAGAATCGTGAGGAGTCCAGGGCCTCAGGGAGCCCTCCGAGCACCATGCGAGGTGTTGCTCCGTGGAGTCCTGGAGAAGAGTCGTCTAGAGAGCCTGCGGACCGTGCGGAAGCTGAACCCATGTGCAGACACCTTGCGCTGCAGCACCAGGCTTCTCCAAGCCAGGAATTGCAAAGGTGCATGATGAAATCAGCTGTGCAGGAAGCCAAATGGGATGAGAAAGAGGTGGCCAGCAAGAAGCATGTGAAGAAAGGAAAGAAGGCTTCTGGTGTCATGAAGCCTTGAGGAAGCCTTTGAGAAAAACCCTGAGGCCACCAAGCAGCCAGCAGATTAAAAAAAAAAAAAAAACCTGCTGAAGTAAAGAAGGCTGCGGCATAAACTCAAAATTTCCATCCCTCACATGTGACAACGTGACATGGACCCTGAAATGTATTTGGGTAACAGTTTTCTTTCACAACCTTCCCTCTACTTGCTTTTGATAAAACATACTCATTCTAAAATCATTATAAATTTAATTTATTTATCTATGCTTCCTTTGCAAGATTCAAAATCATAAGTAATTTGTTTCAAGCTTATCTTTTCAGTGCTAAAATTAGCCATATAGAGACTGAATCTCAGTATTACTTTATTTATGTTATTGAGAAACAGAATTGAGACATTATGATACACAAAATATCAGACTATATATTTGTTAATAATATATGTAACTTGATTTTACAAATACATCTATAGGTCTTCCTTATTTCTTATGCATAAAAATAATTTTATCTTACACATCCATATGGCTTTCCAGTTGTTTGAAGAACATTTTATATTAATTAATTTATCTAAAAATCCATTGAATGCCATGTGCTTGTTCTATTTGCTTGATTTTTCTAAAGGAAAGAAAGTCTTTTGAGTACACAGTGTTATTATAAAATCTAGCACTAACTGATAAAGGTCATACTACCAGCAGATGGAAGGTTACTTCTCAACTGCGCTTGGACCTATTTTTACTTTCCCTTATAAAAATAACAGACACGTACTACCAAGCCTCTTCCTGTTCTCCATCTTCTCTGATCACATGTAATGAATGCTAAAGTTCACCTTAAGTTTCTTAAGTTTCTGCTTAACTTTCTGTTCCTTTCGAGCATCATTATCCAGTGCCACAAAGAATGTCTGAGAATTCTTCTTTTGTACATTTTCTTCATCTCTTGGTGGCATTTTTGAAATTATTTACTTCGCAGTTTAAAATGTGGACAGCAGAATGATTCTGAATACTAATTCTGCAGAAATTATTAAATCGGTGATAAATAATATATCTAAGGAGTTGGGGAGATAGCACTACATCATAAATCCCTGCCTGGCAAGCACAAGGTCCGGAATTATTATTATTATCATTATTATTATTATTAGAAGGAGTTAACACAATTATTATATCTTAAAAATGCAATTATTGACATTTTTAAAGAGGAAAACCAAAAACAAGTAAAAGGAACAAAGACAAAAACATAAAAACGTAAAACTGGTACAGAATTTCAAAACAAGAATAGTTTATCAATGGTTGTTATAGTACATATTTTTGTCATCAAATTTGTTGCTCATATTACCAGGTATAGGCATGCAAAATTGATCAAATAATTAAACATTAACTCTTCCTTTCAAAGGAGAAGATCTAGGAAACATGACAATGTCAAGCCATACAGTTATATGTAAAAGATGAGCAAGGCAATGATCCTGAGAATACTCAGAAGATTTTTTAATCTAGCAGTTAATTGGAAAGATTCTCACCCTGACTAACTATATATACTGATACCTGTGAACTAAGCTACTGCACTGCAGATGGTAATTTGTAATAGTAGTTTCATGTTTGGAGTGCCTGTCATTCTGGTATTCTGAATATGGGCTGCTTGTCATGACATGCCAGTTGCTGCTATGATGTCTCTTGGGTAGGTGGATGTTCAAGAAGAAGGGGGTGGTAAATGAAAGCAAGAGACAGGAAAAGGAATATTGTGGGACTGTCCTGCTTCAAGGTTGTATATGGTGAGATTTTTGGACTTATGTGCAAACATGAGAAGTATAGAATTCTTTATCCTATTTTTAAAATATAATCTAATTTTTAAATGTTTTTATCATATTATGTGAAAAATACCTGTTTCTTATTATGCCTAAGACGTTTGAAATGCAGAGAGATCGTGAGGTTAAGCTTAATAGCCTAAGTCGTTTGATAATAACAATAAGCTTGTCTTCTGGATGGTTAACAACCTAAGTTTGCAGACCAAAATTAGAGAAAAAAGAGGGCTGCAAGGAAAGCTAACATTTTGGCCCTAACCTTGTAAAGTCAATTAAGACTCAGGACACATGAGAACTTGTACTGTAACGTCATGTACCTTGGTAGTGTCCCAAATTTTATGATCAAGGAGATTATGGGCCAAAGAGGAAAATGATCGATGATGTAGAGTATGCCTAAGGAGAGTCACTTGGAGAGAAAACACTCTCTAAGGCTTTCACAGAGAGCACATTGGCCAAGCTATGGCCGTGACTCATCCACATGGCTGACACTGACAAAGGTTCTACAATCTGAGGGACAGGATCTCCGGATAAATCCTGAGGGGATTTCACTGACCTTCTTAGAGCCAAAAGCTACGACTTTTGTTGCATAGGTCCTGCTTTACCTTGGTCTTAACCATCCAGTAGAAAAGTATGAAGATGAAATATAGGAAGTAAAGCCATGCTGTTATGTTGAGCTGTGGGGGACTCAGGTCAATAATTTCTGACATTGCCAGTTAAACAGAAGACCCAAGGCTATTATGGGCTACTGGACTCTTTTAGAGTATTTTGCTGAGTTTACACACCTATAATATTCAAATAACGGAACTTAGGAAAAAAGGGGTATACCGATGAATGTCCATTTTGTATCTGTGTATTCAAAGTGGTTAGGATAGATATATAGTTACATTCTCTTATTGAATAGAATGATTTGTTTTAATGGTGTTTGTAAATAGGATCTCAAGTCTGCATCTTGTACAGCAATTAACCACTAAGAAGAATGTATGCAGTGTGTTAGTTATTGAAACTGTCCTAGCGATTTGATTTGAAATTGTCTCATTGCTATCAGTTTATCAATAAAATTATGAAAAAAAAAAATAAAAAAATAATGTCATCAAACCACAAAAACCTCTTCCTTTCAATAAAATTTAATTATATCCTTGTCCCTTTTATTTTTTGTACTTTTTCTTAAACTTATCTTAAAGAGGGTATAAAAATAATAGGACATTAGAGACAAAACACATTAAAAAAATAAGATGAAAGTTGTTCAGCCTTGGTTGTTTGTTATATTGAACATTGGTGTTTTCAGCGTGGTTGCTCAGATTTCAGATATTAGCATATAATATTGGTAAAAATTAAAAATTTGAATATTAGCCACTACTTTGAAAAAACTGATAGAAATTACTAGTACAGTCATCTTAGATATCCTGTGTGTATACTTACATGATTTTCCCCTTTCCTTTTTTTTCCTATTGTTTCTCCTTTCCTTCATCTCAGTTGTTTATTCCTTATGTTGGGTTTCTTTCCATTTTACTATATCTATTGTACTTTTCAGATTTTATTTATTCTTTTAGGCTCCTAAACTAGAGAGACAATGTGATGTTTACATGTGTGGATCTGATTTATTTCACTTATGAGTATAGCCTCTGGTTGTACCCATTTACCTATAAAAGCCTCAGGTTAGTCTTTCTTTGTAGTTGAGTAATACTCCATTATATAAAATACCACATCTTTTACATCCATTCCTCAAATGATGGGCATTTGGATTGTTTTAAAATTTAGCGATGACAAAGTGTGCTGCACATATATCATTGTGATATGATGGATTCAGTTCTTTTGAAAAGATACCCAGACGGGAAATAGCTGGGTGGAGGGGACCTCTAATCCTAGTTTTCCTGAGGAGTCTCCATAGATTTCCATAGTGTTTGTACCAGTCTACATGCCCACCAACAGTGGAGAAGGGTTCGTTTCTCCCTACAGCCTCTGCACCACTGGTTTTTAGTTGATTCCTTTATGATGGCCATTCTTTATAGTGTGAGAAGCTATCTCAGTGCTGTTTTAATTTGCAAAAATGCAATTATTGTTAAAAATTGCCTGCACTAACAATACCAGACATCTCACTTTGGCCAATTTAAACACTATTTGGGGGTTTTATTTGCATGAAGTGCCCCATACATTTCATCTGCTTATAGATTTCTTAGTTACCCTTTTTAACTCCAGGTAGAGGTAATATTGAACTCATGAGAACTGATCCTCCATTCCAAGACAACAGCCAATCACTATGATTTCTTTCTTTGACCTGAAATAAATATGAAATACTGGTCTTTGGAGAGCACTTGAGAACCAACAGCCTAAAATGAACTCTAGAATCGG